ATATATATATATATATATATATATATATATATATATATATATATATATATATATATATATATATAATGGTGCGTACATGTGTGCGTGTTGTGTATGTTGGTGTATGGTTTTGTGTTTTTGTAAGTACATATGTGTTCATGTGTTAGTTCATTATACACTACATCTTTATTTCTTTATCTATCTATCTGTATCTCTATTTACCTATCGATCACTCAAACTATCCATCTCTCTCTCTCTCTCTCTCTCTCTCTCTCTCTCTCTCTCTCTCTCTATATATATATATATATATATATATATATATATATACATATATATATATATATATATATATATATATATGTATATATATATATATATATATATATATATATATATATATATATATATATATATATATATATGTATATACATGTATGTATGTATGCATTTTGTGTGTGTGCGTGTGTGTGTGTGTAGGTATAGGTGTGTGTGCATCGTTTGATCCTAAATAATTGACGAAAATAGTAAACCTAATAGGCGCCAAGACCGATCCCTGAGGCACTCCGCTAGTCACTCGTCCCAATGTAGAATGCGTCCCTCTAATTACGGTGCTCATCTGTCTTCATCTATTCAAGGAGTTTGTCTTTCACTTCACCTAAGTGTTCTAATTTCCATAATAGTCTCCTCTGAGACACCTTATCAAAAGCCCATTTAAAGTCTAAGCACACAAAATCCACCCAGCCACCTCTTTCCTGTGATATTTCAGATATATATATATTATATATATATATATATATATATATATATATATATATATGTATATATATATATATGTATGTATATATATATATATATATATATATATATATATATATATATATATATGTATATATATATATATATATATATATATATATATATATATATATATATATGTGTGTGTGTGTGTGTGTGTGTGTGTGTGTGTGTGTGTGTGTGTGTGTGTGTGTGTGTGCGTGCGTGCGTGTATGTGTGCATGCATATACATATCTGAGTAAATATTCTTTCTGGTTTTCATATTCCATGCCGTATGTGACATTCGCTCCCTGTATGTTTTACAATCCACTGAACTGAAATGCTACATTCTTCCCCTCCAGCTTCCCGACCGCAAAAAAGCGCATCCAAGTTCCCTTTTTGCGCTGAGTCCTACATCATAATCTCTTTCTTCGTTGCAGGAAAGATGTATTCGTCGTCCGCCTTCTACCGGCCCGACCACCCGACCATCGACGACCAGGTGGAGCTTGCGCAGCGGATCTCCTTCTCTCTGGTCGACGACAACAACAAGATGAGCCGCGGACAGTCTATGTACCTCAAGCGGAAGAACAGGTCCATGCGCTGGATCCATCAAGGTGAGGAGCTCGGTTCGGAGGCTGCGGCCCTTCTTTCTTGGGGCCGAGTTTAGGAGTGTGTGTGTGTGTGTGTGTGTGTGTGTGTGTGTGTGTGTGTGTGTGTGTGTGTGTGTGTGTGTGTGTGTGTGTGTGTGTGTGTGTGTGGTGTGTGTGTGTGCGATCGAATTAGGTTTGTGATAAGTTTTCAAATTATATCAACAATTCCGGTTGTACCATCTATGAAATATTTGCATACCTTTGAGATAAAAGATTAAAGAGAGCAGAATGAACTAAGGCTCTTAGAACGTGAAGTATTACTTTATGTAATAGATGATGTAAACAGCTATAGTATGAAGAGAACTGACAACAAATAGCCATACTTTAGTGAAACAGAAGCTAATAACACGCATATATAGAGTCCGTCTTTTGGTATGTTTTAAATCTTCAGTTACTAGTACAGTAAGCGAAGCCTGATCTCCCAGCAAGGTTCACGAATTCACAAAGTATCTCTTCAGTAATATCTACAAAAGTAAGTAAAGAATCCGAACGTGAAAGGCGCCAATGGTATAGTTGGCTGAAGTGGTTTGTGTATTCAATGTCCCTAATCTCTTTCGCTGAGTTCGCAACCATTATCTCGGGTTTTCTAATGGTTTTGTTTGTAGGGTGATGCTTAAGGCAGGTAGGAAGCAATTCTAAACCACGAGAAAATTCCTGCAAGAGATAGATTTTGGTTTCTGTATTATTTCTGTACTGCGTAAGTTGCCCTATTGTTAAAAACAGCACACTGTCAGATTTTATTTATTTATTCATTTTTTTATCATTATTATTATTATTTTTTGCTTATACCTTTATGATCGGTATTCCTTTAATAATCTATAAGGTGCTAACTAAATGCTTATTTGTGCGTATTCTTATATGTAGCTTTGCAATGTATATTTCGTGTAATGCTTATTGGTATTCATATACTCTAATGGGTGTTTTGTAAACATATTTCTCTTCTACGCACTTCAATGTCTTTCAGATGCTTGGCACTGAACCCTTGATTCTGTACAATTTCACTGCTTTTGGCGCGTCATATTACAGGCTCTGTCGTTTCTGTGCTTGACCTTTCTACTTTTACTTTCTAGGAGGCGAAATGCAAGAATTGATTACAGGTAACAACTTTTCTTTCTCTTTTAATTGCATATCCAAACGTGACTCATCACAAAGTGGCTGCGATGCCTCTGCCTTGACGTATCACTCAATATACATGTAACAGGCAGAGGAACACATGCACAGATATTTAAAAACGTAGTTAGAATATGAACGTATTTATGGAATGCACTCACACACACACACTATATACATACATACATCTATAAATAAATAAATATACATATAAATATATGTACATATATATATATATATATATATATATATATATATATATATATATATATGTATATATATATATATATATATATATATAGATAGATAGATAGATATACATGTATATACATATATATATATATATATATATATATATATATATATATATATATATATATATATATATATATATATATATATATCCTATCTGGCCACCTTGTAATGCTGTCACGGAACTTCTGCTCTAACTGCATCCTTTGAACTGCTGTTTCTACTGTTGCATGTCTCACCCTTGGGTTCCGTCGATGGGTTCTTTTTCCCTAACTGGCTGCTACTGAGAAGAAAGACTTTGTATACACTCCCTAGAGAAAATCTGAGTTGCGGTTGTCTAGAACAGAGGCTCACAAACTATTCAGGCTTTCCACCAACTCTCAGCTCATAACCAATGCTAGCTCTGCTTGCTTTACAGTATATTAAGATTTTTTGGTCATGTATTATCCTATTTTTCTTGATTATGCATATTTTGAATCTTAACAAATTTCAATAGTCTGGTATGATTGAACGAAAGCCAAATAAAAATAAGATCTATCGAATTTCATCAAGCAATTGCAAGTTTAGTATATGTAAAGTATCAAAACAAGGGGAGTATGTTAAAATATTGTGTAAACACTACTGAGGGCTGAATGGAAGCTCTCAGAGTCTGGGTAAGTTTCAAAGCAACAGTTATCTCCACGGAAGAATGTGTTAGTAACGTTAGATAGTCTTATACTCTTCCACATATCCATTTTGCGACCATTCCCGTATCGACCAAGGGACGGGAATGGGAAAGGTTAGGAGGGGACCTTAACTGAGTCTAAATAGAACACTAGTGGGTATTAATGGAACTCCTTCGAAAGGTAGGAACAATTGGGGCGGTTTTAGCAATTTTAGCAATTCCACTTCTTCTATGAACGGTAATGAATCCTTAAAAAATCGGTATTGGAAGTGATAAATTGTTAACGGAACTTAAGCAACGTTAATTTAATGGTAAAAGATTAGAAGTGAATGGCCACCAAAATTCATCCCACACCAGTAGTACTCATATTCCGTTCCTTACCCTTCTCATAGCAATTCCTCAACTTCTTGATCTGTTCCAATCTCTTCCGATCCAAGACTTTTCTCTAACGTTCTGGTCGCGTTTCGGTAACTTTGCAATAGTGTCCTGATATCGCCCCAACCGTACAAAATCGTCCCACTCGTTCCATTACCATTCCCTCAACATTCAGACCTTTGTTATATAAGTGCGCCTAGTTCGATTACGTCACTCCCAACCTACCAAGGGTTCCCATCGCCTTCCAAGACTTTCTCATCACGTGCAAGAAGTTAAAAAAAAAAAAAAAAAAAAAAAATGTTCACGCAGCAACTGATTGGCGGTGACAGACGTCTAGGTTAGGAACGCTTGAGAATAGGCGGTAGCACAGATGTGTGGAATGGGGGCTCGAGGTTGGTGGCTCATGTTATATTTTTGAGAAAGGTAGTTGATGTCGCATTAACTGAGAACAGCTATAGTGAGCAGGTCTAGTAGGCAGCAGAGAACCAGCATTCTCCTATGTTCACAAATAATGCTGAAAATATTGATAATGGTGATGAAGTTGCAACAGTAATTCTGACAATGATATTTGATGATAATGATGGTAATGATGACTTCATTGATAATAATTATACCTTTAGTGATGATAACGATAATGGTAATATATTTTCGGTTATTGTGGCCAATAAGAAGAGAAAAATGATTCGCTGTGCACCTGCATTTAGCCTTTTGCGACCTTGTTGAACAGCCACCCGTCTCGGTTATCATTCATCACCACCCCAGACATTGCGCATTAAGAAGAAATTAACACCAAATCTTTTGTTTTCTCAGTTATTCTGATTTATTTATGCATGTGCATGATCTCATAAAAGAGTTTATATACAAAAATGCATATATATATATATATATATATATATATATATATATATATATATATATATATATATTATATATATATATATATAATTATATAATATATATATATACATATACATATAATAATAATATATATATATATATATATATATATATATATACACACACACACACACACACACACACACACACACACACACACACACACACACACACACACACACACACACACACACACACACACACACATATATATATATATATATGTATATATATTTATATATATGTAAATATATATATCTATATATATATAATACATATGTATATATATGTATATATTT